CAGTATGTTTTATATACTCTGTTTTTACTATTATATGCAATCTTGATTGTATAAATAAGCCTTTAATACTGGGTGCACCTTTGGCACATGGGGACTAAGTTACTACACTTTGTAAATTAATTTTCTCTTAGCTTAGAGATTGTGATAAAAATTCACTTTGCAAAGAATAAGGTGCACTTTAAATGTTAAAAATACAGGATTTTTGCTTTCACATGACTGAATGACAGAAATCAGCAGAGCTTTGCCTTATTCACTATCGTAAAGGAAAATACCCTTGAACAGTGAAAATGTATTTTGCTATATAAACAGCCTATTTGCCTTTAGTAAACCAACCTGCTTGTGTCACAAAGCATTATTACAAGTTTTCTAACAGAAAGAAAAGAGCATACAGGAAGAGGCTTGTCTTTAGACTCTCTCTTTGACTGAATCTTTATGGGGGCTATCTTAACAGGGCAGGCAGGGAAATGAAGAGATTCATTCAATATTAAACCTTTGAGCTCTGTTAGCACAAGTTTTTTTTTGTAGCATAGCAGCTAAATAGTAGAGCTTATAGGATTTTATGTGTCAGGCTGTATGGTGAATCAACATTCTTGAATTATTTATAGGTGTGATGATAACAGAAAGGGTAGATACATCATCAGTGTCATCATTCTTCTTTGGCATTTCATTGAGGATCACACAAGACCATCAGAACACTGTTGGTCAGGATTAAAGGCTAGATAACCCTAGTTGTGGATAAAAAAAAATACAGAAAATACCAAAGTCAAAAGCATTACTGAGGATTAAGTGCCAGAGAAGGTAGCCGGACAATAGCAGAGGACGTGTGAACCATAAAAACTTAAAGGACAAACACAAACCATACAGTGACTAAACAGCTGTGTGTGGCAAAGATTCACAGTGAGGGGAACATCTATGAGAGCCTGGTCTTCATCCAAATCTCCTAATGGTGGGAATAAAGTCTTGTGGCTTGCTCTCCCAGGCAGTGTCTGTCACTTTTGACACAAAAGAGACTAGTGCCAGAAATAGGTGAATAAAAATTCGGCCAAATTTAGATCCATGTATGGCAGGCTGGTTGTACTGAAGTCAATACATCAATTCCCACATCAACACTGACTGTGTATTGGGGGAATCAAGCAATTTTCTTTCCTGCAACCAGAAAGAAAATTGCTTAATGTATTGCCTGCTTAAGAGTATTATTGTTATTATACAGGATTTATATAGCTCCAAAAGTTTGTGCAACGCTTTACAAAATGAAGGTAGACATTACAGTTACAATACAATTTGGTACAAGAGGAAACAGAGGGCCCTGCTCGTTAGAGCTTACAGTCAGGACCTAAATTCCTACAATAAAAGTTGTATAGGTATTTTGTTTCTTACACATACCTATACAACTTTTGTGAGTGGGTTCTTTCTCCTCTATCTCGATTGCCCTGTTGGTTTCACTTGTGGAAGAGATACTGAGTATTTATATGAGTGTATCTGACAGCAGTGATTGAGACTGCTATGAGTAGGTGTTAGGTTAGGGAGAACCTGGAGCACAGTGTTCAATAAGGCACCTCCCTTGATGTTGGGATTGGTGTGGTGAAAAGACACTTCATTGATAACCCCAGTATGTCTCCAGAGGGTTCAAGGGTAATACTTGGCGTCTTCTGTCCCATCTTATTTTATTTGTAATAGAAAAATTGGTTTCTTCTTCTGGTCAATGAAGTGTGGCAGAGTGTGTAAATCACAAAAATATAAACATTTCAGCTGTTTATATAGCTGATTTGCTGGAGTTCTGCATTAATCATGTAATGGGGATGCATGAAACCTTATTTGTTTTTGTGTTAGACCAGATACCCTGTTGATGTCCTGTGGCCCATCACTTTTCAGTGGAGGTTTTAGGCAACGGTCTGATGCCTACATTTAACTTCTCTGAGCAAAATAAATGTTGAGAGAAGATAATGGTAGTCTGTTGATTGTTCTGGAAAGAGCTGTGTGGTAGAGAGGTGTCTGTGAGTACTCCCCCATATTGATTTTGTTTAGTTTTTTTAGAGATAGACAAGCAGGAATTGGCCTGGGCCATCAACATCTCAGAATATGCATCACGATGACGATGGGGTTTGCCACGATTCTCAGCAGGAGATACCTTAAGTCATCCCATGTACTGTATGTGTCTGGTAAGGCTATAATTTGTATCAGAATATAGTACTAAAATAGAACAGGCTGCAATGGTACTGGACAGATTGTGCAGCCTTGAACTTGCATTTAACTTAAGAGATACAAGTGGCTCTTGGGATTTTTTTATGGGGATGATATAAGGGAACTAATGCTAGGTCAAGTGATATCTTATCAAATACAGATTTCATGACTGATGCAATCTGAAAGACAAATGTTGATTGTATAAGCAACTACAACATCTATTATTATCCAACATTGGTGATGGAAAGACTCTCAGTATAATGCTGTAATGGAAAAAGTGACATATCTACTAAAGCTAGACTGATTATCAACAGCCCTAAGTAAAAACAAACTCATAGAAAACATTTACGTACATAAAATGGCATTTATTCATTTAAACCATGAATATTCCAACTAAACATGAACAGATTAGATGTTTTCAATTAACAAACTGACATATTACAATATAAATCAATTGACATAACCCATTACTTTCCTTAATGTTTAATTTCAAGTGCAAAACCAGAACAGAAATAGTATATACTGTATAAGATGGTGGAGGAGTGATTTTTCAAAGAATGATGGATCTGACAGAAAAGCTTTCTCTGTTTTATCGCCTCTTGTAGTTTTCTCCAGCTTTGAAAAAATAATTGACCGGTTCACATAATTTCTACATAGGGAGTCATAAACACAATGGCCATTCATGACAGACATCTCCCTTTGGCTACAGGGCTGCATTCTTTTCACAGAAATACTGTAGACTTTATCTCAAGCAATTTTCAAACAAATCTGCAGGGAATCCTGGAGATTAAACTTTGAGATAAATGTATCTCTAGCAAAAAAACATTCAGATTACAATGTGAAATCTAATTTTGAGAGCGAATGACTTTTCTTTTTTTTGTGCAGTGAGCGATCCAACTTAGACAAGAATAAGCTACATAGTATCTGCTTTATCCTACAAAGCAATCACATAACATACCCTTTATCAACCAGTAATAGCAGCTTTGGGACACCTCACAGAGTTGTTCTGGAGAAATTAAACTACGTAATGTCGGCTAATATAATAGTAAATCACAAAGGCCTAAAAAACCAGCACAAGGCTAACTTCTAAATAGATACTAGAAAAGCACTAAACATTTATAGGCAAATCCAGGAGTACATTATGCAAAATCAAAAGCAAGTGTTCGCGCTGAGTGAAACAAATAAATTATTAAAATCCCGAGCAATGCAAGAAAAATAGAGACAAACACCAAATACCACATTCATCTTATGAATAATGAGGTTGTTTGTGAGAGCTGCCAAGTCTCCGAAGTCAAAAGTTCAGAAAAAAAAATGTTATTGATGTGATAAAACTATGCACAATGAAGAACTTTGATCACTACAAGAGCGGAGGAAAATCATCAGAACTTGCCATTAAACACAAAAAATTACCTGAAGGGTGTTTAAGTGAGTCTTCTAAGCTCTAATAGTAAAAGTATAAATGCATAAAAAATAAACTCAAATATTGGGCTCATTAGACAGATGGATCAAGAAGGGTCACATAGGTCATATCTATGTTCAAGATTAAAGCACTACACATCAAGAAGATTCATTTTACAGCTCAGATTAGTAAGCTTTCTGAAATGTGCCTTTTTTCCAAGGATCACATAAAAACTTGGAGTTTCTTTAGATGCCATATGCTATAAGTTTCTTTTAAATTTTCATTCCAAAAACAGCCAAATATTTTTGCATCCAGCTTCATAAAGTGACAATTTTTAATGAAGATGGACTACATAAAACATTATTTTTATTTAGCCACACAGCGTAAAAATATTTTGCCACCATTTACAGTGAGATCTATCAGTTATCAGTGTGTGTTACATAGAGAACAGAAAGATATATACAAAATTTACAATTTCAAAGTAAGAGAGTTTGGTCTGAAAGCAGTAGCTACAAACAGAAAATGCAAACATTCCTGCATGCTGGTAAATTGAATTACTGTAATTAAAATGTCTCTTTTTCTGCATGCTCATTGTAGTTTATTAAATTTTGATTGTTTTGTTTGTATATATATTGGATAAAATGTTTTAGCTAAAAAAGAAATTGAAAATAATTGCATTATTAAAAAAAAAATTAATACGTGTATAGTCAAGCTAGGTGTCACTTGGGTGTCGAAAAGTATTTAAAGCCACAAATCTTTTTTTTTTTTGTTTTGGATTGAGTAGAAAAGGGTTAAAACTTACTTGAGGTTTTAATTACTATGGTGTAAATTTACTATAATGGGAGCGCTCAGAATCTGGTGCAGCTGTGCATGGTAGCTGATCAGCTTCTAACTTTAGCTTGTTTAATTAACCACTTGCCTACCAGGCACTTATACCCCCTTATTTACCAGGCCAATTTTCAGTTTTCAGCGCTGCCGCACTTTGATTGACAATTGCGCGGTCATGCAACATTGTACCCATATGAAATTTTGATCATTTTTTTCTCACAAATAGAGCTTTCTTTTGGTGGTATTTAATTGCCACTGGGCCCTTTACTTTTTTGCGGTATAAATAAAAAAGGTGCAAAAAATTTGAAAAAAAAAAAAGGTTTATTTGTTTCTATTATAAAATTTTTCAAACAGGTAATTTTTCTCCTTCACTGATGTGCGTTGATGAGGCAGCACTGATGGGCACTGATAGGCGGCACTGATGGGTACTGATAGGCAGCACTAAAGGGCACTGATAGTCAGTACTAATGAGGTGGCACAGATAGGTGGCACTGATAGACAGCACTAATGAGGTGTCACGGATAGGCGGCACTAATATGCAGCACTGATAGACGGCACTGATAGGTGACACTGATGATGGGTACTGATAGACGGCACTGACTGGCATCACTGCTGGGCACTGACTGGCGGCACTGACTGGCACAACCGCTGGGCACTGACTGGTGGCACTGACTGGCAGCACTGCTAGGCTGCACTGGTGGGTGGCACTGGTGGGCGGCACTGGTGGGTGGGCACAGGAGGGTGGCACTGGTGGGCACAGGTGAGTGGCACTGGTGGGCACAGGTGGGTGGGCATAGGGTGGGTGGCACTGGTGGGCACAGGTATGTGGCACTTCTGGGCACAGGTGTGTGACACTGCAGAGTGGCACAGGTGGGTGCACTGCTGGGCACAGGTGGGTGATCTGCTGGGCACAGGTGGGCGGAGTTAGTGGGCGCACTGCTGGGCACAGGTGGGTGGAACTTGCGGGTGGCACTGCTGGGCACCGATCATCAGGGCACTGATCATCAGTGCCCTGATGATCAGTGCCGATCCCCGCTCTGACAACTGCCGGTTCTCGGCAGTACTTTCCTCACGATCTGACAGCGTGAGGAAAGTGCAGCCGAGAACCGGCACTTGCATTTCCCTCTGATCAGCGTGTCATTGATCACGTAGTAAAAGGCCGCTGTGATTGGCCTTTTACCACATCACGTGATCAGCTGTGTCTGTAGGACACAGCGATCACGGAGATCGCCGGGTGCGCGCCCCCTGGAGAGCGCGTTCTGGGGGGACGTCATATGACGTCCACCCAGAACTGGCCGGCCGCAGTGCAGCCGTCATTCGGCTATCTGCGGTCGGCTACTAGTTAAGCTTGACAATAAAACCTGGAAGGTGATTGGTTTCTCTGCAGAGCTGCACCAGATTTTGCGCGCTCCAGTTTTAGTAAATAAACCCCTATGTGTGTCCCTCTTGGGAAATTCCTCTTTTCTCTTTGTCCTGAATGGTTCAATTGTTGACAGAAAATAGAGGGAAACTAGGATGATTTCACTTCACTTCCTGTCCTGATGTGTCTGTAGAACATGAAATGAAGGGAAATATTCTCAACAGGAATAATACTTAACCACTTCCCGTCCGGCTCACGAACATAAACGGCCGGATGGGAGCAGTGCAGGAGCGGGTTGCCATTCATAAACGGCACCTGCATTTACATCCTGTGTGCGCCCCCTAGGAGCGCGCGGCACCGCTCTCTGTACAGGACTTCTGTGTGAGGTCCCGATCATGTGATCACTGATTGGCTAATCAGTGATCACACGAATAGTAGTAAGATGTCACTTTCTGACATCATTGCTTACTACTAGTGAAATCTGTGAATGATCACAGAGGTCACATGGTACAAGGCTATTCACAACAGCCTTGTACCATGTGACAAACTGTGACCAATCACAGCTCTCACAGTATTTATCAATGGCTGCAAGAATGCAGTCACAGAGAAGGAGAAATTATTGCTTTTACAGCATTTATGGGTGTAAAAGCAATCAGTGTACAAAAAAAAAAAAATTTTTTTCATCACCCCCCACTATGTTGACACTGTACTGCTAGGGTGACAGTATGTTAAAAAAACAACATAAATAATATAAAAAAAATAAAAATGTAAAACAAAATTTTGAACAATTATAATTTGTGGTTATATAAACTATTTATTTTTTTTTACTAAAAAGAAAACTGAATACATTTTGGCTAAGATTTATGAAGAAAGATTATTTATTTGCAAAATTTTATAAGAAAAACATTTTTCAAAAGTTTTATCTGTATCAAACAAATGCTAAAAAATTCATATGGGTACAGTTTTGTATGAATGCGCAATTGTCATTCAAAAGTGCGATAGCACCGAAAGGTGAAAATTGGCCTGGATAGGAAGGGAGTAAAAACTTGAAGTGGTTAAACATACTTGAAAAAAGCTGTCAGAGATTTTAATTAGTTGATATGTTTTCCAAAATTATTTTTTTTTAAAAAAGATGTTTTTTCTTTAGATACGCTTTAAGCAGAGTGACTGCAAAAAAAGCATTTTTATTCTTATATTCGCATACCTGTGAGCAGAATTGTGCTTTGACTCCCTGTCAGGGGATCAAAGTCAGATGTAGCCAATCCAAAGCTTCTGGTGTACCTCAGCAGGGCTATAGTGCCCTTCCATCATTAAAGGAAATCATTGCACCTTCCTGTGAATAAATTATCCTGAAGATACCTTAAATAAGATAATTGCACTCTTTCCCATGTAAAATGTTAAAAACAGCAAAAACATGAAAGGCTTGCCTGCATGAGCACGAGTTTTAATGTGGAAAAGTATTATTGTGCCATACCATTATGTCCATAATGATGTCATTGCTGTGGGGTCATGAAGGATTTTTTTTCCTCCTATTTGGAAAATTGTCAAGGAGAAGTAGGGCCAAAATCAGGCTATAATTCTCCTTTAAATACTCTCCACTGCCTCTTCTCACTGTGCAAGAGTGCTAGCCTGTCACTATATAATATATTTATCACAGTTCATTTGTGATTTAGCGTGGGGGTCGGGGATCACTTTTTCACATAGGGCCAGGCAGGTTTAGACAGCTTTTTTCCCCTTAAAAATCATAAATTAGAAACTGCATTTTGTATTTACTAGGGTTATCTTTATGTAATATTAAAACTTATGTGATGATCTGAATCATTTAAGTGTGAAAAATATGCAAAAAGAAATCAGGAAGGAATTGTGTATAGCCTGCTATATGGAAGATGGATTGTTCTTCTGAAAAATACACCGCATTATGCTTCCACTGACCTTTCAGGGAAGTGCAAAACAAAAAAGATGGAAATTTCCTTGTGAAGAAGGCAAAAGGTTGTACATAGAACCCTAACCAATTAAGGTGGGAAAAAAGCATATGCAAAGTATATGAAAGGAAGACTTAAAGCGGAGCTCCACCCAAAAGGGCAAGTTCCACTTAAAGATGCTCCCTTGCTCCCCATTAAGGATTGGCACCTTTGGGGGGAGGGGGTGCGGGTATCCGAATTTGACAGGTACCTGCTCCCACTTCCGGTCCGATCACCTAGGCGATCTGAAACAGAAGGTATTCTCCCTCCCGGTAGTCTTTTGGGACACGTGACAGGTCCCAGAAGACTACAGGACCATTCATGAAGTGCAGCGCTACTCGCGCATGCGCAGTGGGTACCCGGCTGTGAAGCCGCAAGCTGTCACAGTCGGGTGCCCACACTGAAGATGCCAGCCTCCTGGAATCCAGGACGGTCAGTGAAACGGACTGCGGGGGACATACCGAGGGACAGACAAGTGGCTGTTTTTTAAAAGTCAGCAGCTACAGTTTTTGTAGCTGCTGACTTTTATTTTTTGACCGGTGAGTGGAATTCCGCTATACGGTTGAAGTAAGGGAAAAACCTTTTTACTTCTGAGAGAGTAAGAGAGGGTTATAACTGTCAGTTTTTTTGCCATCTATAAGCCATTGGGGGGGATTTCTCTTCACTTCTTGTCCCATTGTCACTACAGGAAATGAGAGGAAATCCATCCAAAATGAGGAAATCACTAGTCATCATCAGGGCACAAGGGAAAATGTTGCCTCTATTTCTGTTCTGTTGACAACCCATAATTAGGATTTTCTTTCACACTTAGTGATAATGGTAAACAGGACAAATGGCAGTGGGTAAATCTCCTTAATGGGGGCTGAGAAAGCAATCAAAAACCTGATAGGCATTCTATTCCCTCTCTCCTCTATTCAAAATGTAAAAAAAAAAGTTGTACCTTTGGTAATGCTTTAAGTCCTGCATGGAAATAGTGAGGGCACTATGAGACTAACAATGCTTTCCAGTGTAACGAGACACATATCAGTCAGTGTCAGGGGAAATAATAAAGTGCAGTGGGAGATATTTTAAAAGACTTACTCATATAAAGATTGTCCTATTAACAGGGAAGTTGTTTGTTCTTAGAAACGGACCCAAAAGCAGAAAAAAATGAATATATTAGGTTAGCAAATTGAATATATTAAATGCAGGACCATTTTGTATTCAAAGTCTGAAATCCAGATTCTACAACTAAAGATGAGATGTAAAGTGGTACTGAAGAAGAGTACAAAAAAGAAATATTGTAATGGCGTTTCCAGCTATTTCACAATCCTAACTGGGGAAATTTGACAGTGCTGTACTGAAAGAGTAGTGAGGAGATAGCATTAATTAAATAAAGAACTGCCATAATTTAGAACACTGCCAAGTTTTAGAGAGTATATATGAAGGAAGGCAAAATGCCCTAGTGTGGATGTAATCAGTGCTGTAGCAGGGTCATAAAAACCTTAGGAAGCAGAATATAATCAGTTCAAAATATTGTGAGTGTATGACTAAAAATGCTTACCTTCAAATGGCTAGTGAATAAGGCATTCTTTAAAAGTACCTACATTCCAGGCACATAACCATCATGCTCTATGCATATGGACAGTCATCACTGCCTTGCAAGAACCTAACATAGATGCACAGGTTGGTGGTTTCATGAATTAAAGTCCAGCTAATATAAACTCGGACACAAATAAGAATTCTAACAAAGCATCCGTGAAACCCTTAAAGATAAAGACATTATTCTCTAAAGTTGGATGATCATTAAGGTGAAGGACTAAAGGGTCCACATAAGGTAGAGACCATTTGTTAAGAAAACTCCCTATCTAAGGGAAAATAATCCTATGTTTACCAGGATATCATGATAGCGTAGTGAGCTCCCAGACTTTGATTACCTCAAACTAAAACTGCCCCACATTGTGTGCTGGCCAGGGAAAGACTAAATATAAAAACACCACAATCCCCCACACTGAAGAAATCAGTCACATTGCTCAATTAATACATATTTTTTACTAAATACAACAATATGAAAAAACAGTCAAAAATCCCATGTAACTCATGCAGGAGTACGCAAAAAATGTAAATACCAGTTGAAATTAGTCTTTCCATCTCCACACAGCTCCCAGTCTTTACACAGGAAGTTTTTTTAAAAAAAGAGGATAAAGGGAAGGTCTCTGTATTAGCAGAGTGAACTGTATCAATCCAAGAAGACATAAGATTTTCAGGTTTATCTCTATCCCAATTAAATACTGTCCCTACAGGAATAGACTGAGAAGCTCTGAATCTGGAGTGAGAGATAATGATAGAGGCCTCAGGTGAAGGGTCAATACGGTTAGAACCAGAACTGAGCACTTTACAGCCCTTGGGCCATGTCCAGCCCTTAGACTGTCCCTAGTTGAACCATGTGAGGTCAATTGGAAATTAGAAATCAAATGTAAATAAGTGTAGGCCATACACACAATAAAACTGCATTGCTTTTATTTTGAAGGCGACTGCTATTTTTTCCCAATGTATATATGTGCATGTGTGCCTACTCACCTTCAGAGTAATACAGTAATGTGTTGGAGAGCTCTGATGAAGAAGGGACGCCCTTCGAAATGCATCAGATGTACTCTGAGTGTCTACCCCTATAATGGGACTCGCACAGGCTTCTCAATTCTAAAGTTCCTTTGAGGACTTACATGCTTGATTTATGAGTATCATTCTGTATTCAATAAAATTATGGTTTACTGAGGTAATTCGCAAGGTTGGGGCGCTTTCTTTTTTGTTTTGCTT